TGGTCGAAGAGGATGGCATTTGGATATCACGAGCCGTCACCTATCGAGCAAATGGCCGCTTTATCCCACAGTCGTGATGATGTTGATGAGACCATGAGCAATGTCGATTTGCTGGAGCGAGACCGGATTGAAGCTGGCGACGAAGACGCCAACATGTGGGAGACTAGAAGCTGCCCACCAGATCCACAGGAGACGCGAGACGAGCCGTCCAAACTCTTCAAGGACAAGGAAGACATGCAAAAGTATTTCAGCAAGGTCGTCAAAAAGAAGGTACTCTTCAATCCATCGTCGTGCCCCACCTTTGATACGGCCTGGGAAGACGCTCACGGGAAGGGCTGGCCAGGCTCTGACACAGGCAGCGAGGATTCGCACTTCCATGACCCGGTGGCTCCCGCCGACCCGGTGGTTGCCGAGTTCTGTCGGATGGTCTTGAAGATTGTTGCCGATGCCCAGCTTCACCGCCGAGCCCACACTCCTTGCTGCTTCAAGTATGAACGGTACAAACGGGCGGCGCAGCGCAAAGGGAAATGCCGGTTCTCGTTCCCTCGAGCGCTCATTCGATGCACCTACATTGACAAGAAGACTCGCGTAATCCACATGCGTCGCCACCATCGATGGGTCAACGCGTTCAATCCATTCATTGCCTACCTGCTGAAGTGCAATCACGACATTCGATATCTCGGACAATCCACTGATACAGCATATGCTGCCGTAAGGCTGATGGCGATCACACACACTGACAGTGAGCCTGGCATGCATTCATATGCTGGTACGCTTGCGTTGTATCTACCAGGTCCACTATTGCACCAACTACGCAGCCAAGATGGAGCTGCCAATCTCTGAGATGGTGGCTGTGATTGCTGCTGGCTTCAAGCGATATCAAGAGCGATACGGCGACGATGACAGCGATGATGTGCGAGAGCAGTGCTTCAAGCTCGTGCGGTCCATTCACAACATGATCAAGTCGAAGACACAATTCTCAGCTCCCCAAGTCGCAATGATCCTTCTCGGCCTGGGCAAGAAGGGAGAGAAGTATGTGTCGCACGACTTTCAGCCTCTAGTTCTTTCTTCATTCCTAGCGCACCTTGACCGTCACTTTGCTGGTGACACGCTCGCGGCTGAGCCGACACACACCGAGCAGGAGTCGTACACGATCACCCTGCAACAAAAGGGAAGAGGGCCGAGACAGATCGTTCTGAGCAATCAAGTGGATGACTATATTCATCGTCCCACCAGCAGAGAGCTACAAGACGGCCGCCAGTTCCTCGTAGCGCGTGTGGGAGATGAGGTCGGAGACGCCAGTAAAGTGGCTCTGCCACCGAAGCTGACGGGTTTGACGGCTTTCACCGACGTCGAGATGAAGGACGTTTATCTCTACCAGTTCATGGAGGCCTTCTTTGCAATGCGCCTGACGAAAGCGGAGATGGACAGCGAGGAAAAGAGGGAGAAAATGAAAGAAAAATGAAAGAACTTCGAGGATGTCCATCGATCAGAGGAAGACGCCAAAATCTATCGATACCTGCGTGACAAGGAGAGCGAGCATGTCACATCACTCGCAGAAGAGACCCAGAAGTTCCTCAATGACCAATACGACCGCCTGTACGCCAAGAACAGGGAGACTGAAGATGACGTGTTGCAGCTGCTGGGGCTCGCCTACCTGTCTGGCCTCACTGGCGGCAAGAAAACCTTCTCTCACATGGAGATCCTGGCGTCATCGCTCGCTCGACCGACGACAGAAGACAGCCCGCAGATTGCCGCTCCTGCGGCGCCCGTGTTGAAGGCGTGCTTCGCTAAGTATATCAATGCATCGCTGGATGCAGTTGGGTGTGAACCTATTGATATCGAAACAGCAACAGAGGTGAGATGATGATAAGTATGAGTGCATTATGCATTGTATCAATCTAAACTGTCTGTCTCTCTGGTGCGTGCATCTCTGTGTACCTTGCATTGAAGGCGTTGTCGAAGACCTCTCTCGATGACCGTCATTCAGCATGTCAATCAAATGGAAGCCGTCAGGATCAACTCAACGATGACCTGCAGCAGCAACGGAAGAAGCTTTGTGGAATCGGCCACAGCCACGGCACGTCAGATGAAGCAAGCCTCTTGAGTAGCTTCTCCTCAAATCTCTTCACACACGGTGGTCACTCGATGGATGCTGCCGACCTCACTCGACTGCTGGCGCAGCCGGCGTCCGCATTCAAGCCGCCTGAGACGGGCGACGACAAGAACCGTGAAGACCTCCTCTGTACAGTGGCGAGCCGTTGCCAATTGAACGAAGAGCAGATGCGGGCGTTCCAAATTATCTGCAGCCACTTGCTGAACCACTACAAAGACCTGCAGGACAACAAATACGTCACGCCATTGCGCATGTGCCTGACCGGCGAGGGCGGCACCGGCAAAACACACGTCATCAAAGCTGTGAAGGCCTATTTTGCTGAACTGCAATGCCGACATTGGCTGCGCCTGGCAGCACCTACCGGCGTGGCTGCAGATAATATCGGAGGCTCGACCCTCGATTCGCTCCTGCACATCTTCGATGACTTCAAGAGCGGCGACAAGAGGCTGCGGCGCCAAGCGGTGAAGCAGCAGACAATCGATGGTGACCGCATTTGCAGAGAGGAGTCTTGGAAGCACATCCATTACATGATAGTCGACGAGATCTCTTTCGTCAATCGCCAGAAGCTCGACAATTGTCTGACCGAACGTGTTTTTTCTTAAAGACGCAAATCGGGCACTAGCCCAATTCGCGGAACAACACGTCCGGTCAGACAAAACGTTCGATCGCGATCGTATGGAAGAAAAAAGGGAAATCGGTAGCGGTGGTGTGTCGCTCGCACTACTACAGACACGCCAATATGTCGAACAGCTTCATGTTTTTTGTCACGTTTGATCACTGACCGTTAAACTGATGTACCCTAAAGGAGCAAGTTATTGAAAAAAGCTTGGCCGTCAGGCCGTCTAGGGTGCTCCCT